GGGGGGGCGCCTTTTTTTTTTTTTTTCCCCCCCCTTACCCCCCCCCCCGGGTTGGTGTTTTTTTGGGGGCCTCTTCCCATGTAGGAATATTTTTTTTGGTTTCGCGGGTTTTCCTTCAGAAGGGGGCTCCGTCCAATTGTGCGTTTTTTTTCAGTTGGCTAGGGACAAGTGGAAGGTGCCGAACCAAAGGGGGGGGGGGGGGGGGAGCGGGCGAGCGAGGTATTCGAGGAACGGAAGCGGTGAAGCTGTGTCTATGTGCGTTCGTTTTTCCCTTGCGGTTGGCGGTTGAAGACGCACCAACTTTCCTGAGAGTAGGGAAGAACAAAAAAATGTGATTTTGGTGCCCGCACCGCGTAAAAGCATGTGCCCGGGCTATTTGTGCGCGCCCCTTTTTTAGCCCGGCGGTGCCGCAATTGTCGATAGGTTTTTTTGTCATCTCTCTTGTATGTATGGGGGGGCTATGGGATCAATACAAGAAAAGGGGGTGAAAAAAAAGACGTGGAACGTATAAAAATTAAGTAAGGTAAAAAACCTGTTGTCGACAGAAAAGACAAAAAGTACGGGGATAAACGTGACTGGACAGGAAAATATCCAAAACAGTGAAAGGAAATGCTGGTGGGAAAGTTGTTGTTTTTGTGATTTGTGGTTGGCTTGGTGACGACGGTCTGTCTAGTGATGACGGGCCTGGTAAAAAAAATGCACTCGGACTTCGTGGGTGTGGCGGGTGTGTGGGACCGAGGTGGTTTCCGCCAGAAAGTCGCTTGTGACAAAAATAGGAGTAAAAAGGAGGCGCTGTGTTGTGGTTGTGGGTGGCGCGAGGTAGATAAACAAGAACGACGTCGTCGAATGTTTCGACGTTCGTAACCGTTCGTTACGCGTAAGGTGGCAACGAAGGGCGTGGTGCCGCGGGGGGGCGAGTTGGTTAGCTCCAAAGAGGGCGAGACGACATGAATTGATCCGCTCTGTTCATGGTCTCTCCTTAGCTGCTGGTGCTGAGGCTATGTGGTATGGGATGAAGGTCGGAGAAGGCCGCGTTTCTCGCTAAGGAAGTTCCGGAGAATTTTTCCTGCCGGATCGGACCGTGGTCGGGGAAGGGGGGTCTGAGGTAGGACAAGCGCCCGAGAGGGGGGGGGGGGGGGGGCCCC